CTTGAGCCACAGGCACCGAGCCAATTCCTCTTTCCTCATAAATGCAGTGCCTGGGCTCCACAGAACACAGGTGGCAAGCATGGTATCAAAGCAGTGTACTTAGAAGAGTTTCCCAGAACAGCTGGGACAGACAATGGTACTAGATTATTAAATAGGATTAATATGAGATTTCCTATGAGCTTCCCTGTGAGATGTTTCTGATTGGTTTTTTAACAAGTAGGAAGAGTTTTTTAACACTCACACTAACTTTATGACTATGACTTTTGTATCCTCAATGACTAGTACAGTACTTTCCATATAAAAGACATGTAAGCTTGTTTTAATTACACTCACCAATCATTTACTATGCAATGGGAGTATTCTAAGTGCTTTACATAAGTATCCCATTTAATCCTCACACTACCTTTGTAAGAAGTTAGCATTAACCATTATTATTCCCATTTTATAGATGAAGGAATTGAGGTTAGGTCACTTAGCTCATAAGTGCCAGGACCTGGACTTCAGGACTGGTAGTCTTACTCTAGAACCCATGCTCACCTTAACCACAACACTATGCAGGCCATAGTGGATGCACAAATAACAGATGAATGAAAAGCCTCATGCTGCACATCACTGACCTGGAAAGTCCAGTTAGCATGTGAAAAGAACTATTAGAACTGTGTAAAAACTTAACTAGGATTTCTGAAATAGGGGCAAACTTATTCCAATGCTATCTTACTGTTTAAAAATTAGCCAGCATAATCTACACTCTTGAGTTAAAGTACTAATGTAAAGGATGCCTATGAGCTTGATATTTTTTATGATGCTGCTTCCATTGACACAATAAGACATCTACCTTCTCTACAACCAATGGGCATGGGCTGGCTGAAAGGAAGCCAACTCAATCAATACTAAGGCAAGTATGCTGGTGTGACATTTGGGGTATTTCAAAGGGCCTCAATGTCTGAAATCAACTCACCTCTAAACATCTGTAAAGTGTTCTCATTTCATACTGCACTCTGTGCTTCTTGAAAATGTGCACTGATTTGAGAAGAGTAAATCGCTCTATTTTTCTTGGAGGTTCATGACTGAAATTAATGGGCAAAACAATGTACTGATATTAAAATATGAGTCACTGATACTGAAGCATGATTCCACAATTTTACAGGTCAGGCTTATACTCGATTACAGGCATTAACTACCGTTTATAGACTTCTATTTGTCAAGGCTGTCATCTGTAACAGCAACTGCTATCATAAAGTTCACACCAAAATAAACACGACAGACAATAGGAATCTTTTCCCACAGGCCCCAAACTGAGTCTTAGCATGCAACTATGTGTGTGCACACACATGCCTGCTTTTACACCCTGAGTCCTTTACTGACCAAAGACAGCAGAACCTCTGCAAGCTGGCCAGCCAAGGGACTATAACAAACTGGTTGACATATGGAGGTAGTCAACGTAAGCAACTAGGCCTACTGTACTGCTATGTATTTAACTTTCTTGTACAACTTTTATTAGAGAATATCATATGAAATCATACATAATCAAAACACAGTAGAATCATACATTCAATACCACACAAAATCAATAGATTTACTATTTCATCATTCTTTCTGGAAAAAGTCAATCTTGGACTGTTTCGTATTCAAATTACAAACATAAGTGGAGAAAGCATTCTCAACACTGGCTATACCACTCAGTGTACTGGGTATTTTTTTGCAGCAAATGACTTAAAGACGTCCTCTTCTTTTGTAGTCTCTGCAATTTCTGTTGTCACCTCCACTTGTTTCCTTGTTAGCTGTTTCATGCACTTTTTTTTTGAGACAAAGTCTCAGTATATCGCGCTCGGTAGAGTGCCATGGCACCACAGCTCACAGCAACCTCAAACTCTTGGGTTTAGGTGATTCTCTTGCCTCAGCCTCCCAAGTAGCTGGGACTACAGGTGCCTGCCACAACGGCTGGCCGTTTTTTTGTTGCAATTGTTTAGCTGGCCTGGGCCGGGTTGGAATGGGCCACCCTTGGTATATGTGGCTGGTGCTACAGGCGCCAAGCTGTGTTTTGTGCACTTTTATGCTGTACTTTGCTTGGAAAACTGCTTCTGGGTTAGATTCATTACAGGTTGTCACCTCATCATACGTTGCAACAAAACCTTCAAAATCTACTCCTTTTGAGTTCTGCTATGAGAGATGGACTATCTGATGGGGCGCAAAAATTGTGCTCCAGGGTTGTGACAAATCCGGCTTTCTTCAAACACTTCTGTATTGTTTCTGGCTGAACTTTATTCCAAGCAGAATTGATCTACTGGACAGTATCCAGAGCATTAACTGATGCAGTGGAAGAAGTTATTTCCACAGATGGACCATAGCTTCCTGTTTTAGTAATGACCCACTGCATAAGGTGGGCTGAGTAGTGCATTTTAAATGTTTTGATGATGCTTCAGTTAGGAGGCTGGGTCTTTTGAGGTCATGTTTGGAGGCAGAAATTTCAGTGTCACGCTTGTGAGATGATTCACTAGTGGGTGGCCAGGACAGTTGTCCATTGTCAGTAGAATAGACTGTTGCTTCTTATTCATTTCTCAGCTGATACCCCTTACCCATTCTTCAAAGAGGGCAACAGTCATCCATGTATGGGGAGGTCTGTGGGTTTCCGGTTCTTAAATGTGCGTGGCTTTGCCGACTGACCAATTACCAAGGGCTTTAGTTTCTCTCTGGTTGAGCTAGCACTAAGCAGAACTGTAAAACATTCTTTGGAAAGTTTTCTGCTCTTATATAAGTGTCACCCTTCATGATGAGGCTCCTGTCAGGCATTGCCCTGAAAAAAAGAGTCTGCAGTGTTAAAGATGTTCTCATCTTTGAAGCCTCTGGTGAAGTCTAGAACTTTATGATGAAGTTTTCCACAATTTCTACTGGAACCACGTAAGACTTTCTGGGAGATCTCCTGTTGCAGTTTAAATTTCTCAAGCCAAAGACTTGATGCTTAAGAATTTGCTACCCCAAATTCCTGTGTGAAGTTCTTAATCAACTTCTTAGATCACTGGCCCAGAGACTTGGGCATTAGCTGCCGTCATTTGCTTACTTCATTTGCTTCACTGACTTCATGAAGCGAAGTTTCCTCCTTTCCACTCTAGGTCTCTGTTTTCCTTCCATCTCTCTCTAGGTACTCATGTTTATGTTTTTGGATGTTACTAACTGTGGTCTTGCTGACATCAAATGTTCTGCCATCTTTCTTAGGCTGTTGCTTTCCAGAAAACCTAGAAGATCAACCTTTCCTTTGGTGTCAGCTCTTTGAGTTCTTTCCTTTGGGTCATGATGTCTTGATTTTTTTTTTTTTTTTGAGACAGAGCCTCAAGCTATCCCCCTGGGTAGAGTGCAGTGGCTTCATAGCTCACAGCGACCTCCAACTCCTGGGCTCAAGCGAGTCTCCTGCCTCAGCCTCTCAAGTAGCTGGGACCACAGGCGCCCACCACAACACCCGGCTATTTTTTGGTTGCAGCCGTCATTGTTTGGTGGGTCCGGGCTGGATTCGAACCCGCCACCTTAGGTGTATGTGGCTGGCGCCTTAGCCACTTGAGCCACAGGCGCTGAGCCATGATGTCTTGATTAACTGTAAAATTTTTCAGTAATTGTAGAATGTACCTACAATCTAGTCCTTCATGTTCAAAAAATCTTCCATAACACTTGATAAAACAATAGGATGTTAGGCCTAATCCAACGTGTGGTAATAAAACATGAGAAAAGAACTTATACTAAATAATATAACTAAGGGGTAAAACCCATACCTTCTACCCTTTGGCGTACAGCAGACTCAACTGGTCAAGTTATAAAGGGTAAATTAATATTGTATGTCACAGTCCAAGTGGTCAAGATGTAATACACAGAGGTTGTCAATATATAGAGGTCAGTTTTCCACTGAGTTTATGTGGCACATGTCCAGTCTATGAAAATTAGGTCAACTTAAGAAAGTGGTTGATGTAGGGAGGTCGTTGACTACAGAGGTTCTACTGTGTACACATCGTGAAGAGAAGCACCAGTGTGGTGGTAATGTCTGTTATATGTGCATTGTTTTAGGAAAATCTATAGACACACTGACAATCACAAAATTGAAAAGCATGTTCTGGGAAACAGTGTGGCCTTCTGTTTTTGTTGTAGGCCAGACTCTGACAAAGGTCCAAATGGGCCTTATTCAACATCAGAAGGAGCAGATGACAAGACAAAGGAGACAATTCTACTTGACCCTGCAGTGACTCCAAGGCTACAGGAAGCTCACCTTGCTCATGCATGAAATTACCAGGTGAGAGGTGTTTCTTAGAGCAGATTTCAAACAATGGATATATTATCCCAAGATCATCTTATCCAAAGGGTTAAAAGGACTGTTTGCTCACCTGTTCTACATCCCTGCCCCCTGCAGATCCCAGACTTTTGGGCTTTTTGGGTCTCATTTTGTCAACATGATTTCTAGAAAAAGGATTTCTTTTATTTTCCTTATTTATTCTTTCATTCTAGCATATGTATTTAAAAATTCTTGTAGAAATGAAGGGATGATCTTGCTTAGAATTATATATGACAAGCCTAAACTTTTCCATCATGTGTTTCTACCCCATTTTAAGAGCCTGGACCTACCTAAGATCAGTACCATGTTCCTGGTTGATCATATTATAACACCAATAAGTCAGATTGCGAAAGGTCATACTCACACTTTAACAGAGATACCAAGTTCTTTGGCAGCAAGCACAGCAAAATGTTCATAACTGTCCAATACAGCCTTATCATGGCCTTTTACTAAAACTGACAGGCGCTTATATAATGTATCTGGTTCATCAGAAATTGTTATCTAAAACCAAAAGAAAAGTTTCAGTTACAGCTCCTCTAATATTTATAACTAGCAAAGTCATCAGAAATGGCTAACTAAAATCAAAAAGTAAAGTTTCAGCTGTGGTTTCTCTAATACTTATAACTAGCAAATTTAACATATAATCCTCAATTGAACAACTTTAGAGTTTACTAATAAATGGGGAGAAAAATGCTGAGTAAAATAACTCTGTTAGCTTATGTATTAGATATTATCATGTTCAAATTTGTACAATGAGCTTCAGAATCTGTTAAAATACTGTGGGAATCAAAAGGATTTTCAAGGCAACCTACAAAATCACTAATGGAATTTTCCAACTTAAGAATTACTAAGCCCTAAATTCACAATGATAAAGGACTTTAGAGTCTGCTAACCAAAGCAGCTTGGGTCAGAAGAACTGGATTAAGAATAAACTCTGCTACTTGTGGCTGAAGGACAATGGCCAAATCATATAGTAAGTACTTTACATAAATATCTGCACTTTAGTTTTCTTATATATAAAACTGAGTAATACCTATTCTATAGCTCACAGAATTTTGCCAAGGAAAATAATAAGAAAACACAGATTAAAGTGCTTATAAATGATATTGTTACACAAAGGTGAGCTACTGATATTCTTTGTGAGGTTTTATTCATGTATGTTTTACCTCCCCTAATATAAAAATTACTCATTTCTGATTAAAGTGTTTTGACGCTGACTATACCAATAACTTCTACCTCTTCCACTCTAATACTGAAAGATCTTAGAAATAATGGCTTTGACATTCTTGACTTTCTTCCAAGAGGTAAATTACCTTCATTTCATTTATCCATTAAACTGGTAAATTGTATCACTAATCCGATGATTCAGGATTAAATCACTTCACCCTTGAAAGGAGATCTAGCTAGGAAGCTAGATAGCCATTCTCAATTACTCCAAATGGGGCTGCTGGAATAGAATATATTGATATTCTATGTCATTTAAGTTGAGGGATGTGGAAGAGGGAATGGAGCCCTCAAGTGGTGTCCAACCTTTTTTCTTCTCAGTCAGTGCACATTAGAACAAGAGGAGTTGTCTTGGGCCACATATTAAATACACAAACATTAATGAAAGCTGATGGCCAAAAAAATCAGGTCTATGCACAATTTTTGTGATACATGCCACCACAGATAAGCAGAAAAGTCCTCACATACTGCATGCAGCCCGAGGACACCCCTGAATGTATTCTAATTGATCCTTACAGGGTTTCTAAAATATTTTAAATTTGTTACAAATATTAAAAATCAGGAGACGTCACATGAAAATGTGGATTTCAGCTTAGATTTAGATGGCCTAGCATCAATCAGTCTGATTTCCGACATGGCAACAAGCAGACAGAATAAGGAGTAGCTGCCCATCCTGTCACCTGTCCTTACAGGACTGACCCTTGCAGCATCTGAGCTGGAGACAGGCTAATATCATAGAACTATACCCAGTATCTGTTAAGCATTTGGTGGGTGGGGGTCGGGGGAAACAGCAGTACATGTATAACACAATTCCATTTTAGTGTACGTATGCATAGATAAAATGAGTATGTATAAATAAATCTCTAGAAGGATTCACACCACACTGTTAAAGGGAGGGGTAGAAATGGAAGGATTTAGAATTTGTAAGGATTTTTAAAAATTACAAATAACACAAAAAATTGGGTTGATGAGATCATGGCTTCTATGAGGTTACATAAGTACTTCCAGACTTCCATTACTTGTACTAATGCTCTTTTTCACTGTGTCTTAAACATTTTCTTTTTTTTTTTGAGACAGAGTCTCACTTTGTTACCCTTGGTAGAATGCCGTGGAATCACAGCTCACAGCAATCTCAAACTCTTGGGCTCAAGTGATGCTCTTGCCTCAGTCTCCCAAGTAGCCGGGACTACAGGTGCCTACCACAATGTTCAGCTATTTTTAGAGATGAGGTCTCACTCTGGCTGAGACTGATCTTGAACCTGTGAGCTCAGGTGATACACCCACCTTGGCCTCCCAGAGTGCTAGGATTACAGGCACAAGCTACCATGCCTGGCCTTCTTCCTCACTGTGAACAATAAAGCATTGCCCAGGTCCAGGTTCAGTATTTAAAATGAAAACAAGGAAAAAAGAATACTTGAAGGCTACAAGAAAAATATTTTTCCATAATATAGCATCAAGTATTCTACATCATTATGACAACTCTTCAATTATGCTGAGCTAAAGGAAAGAGAATGTTAATTGCCAGTCATTTGGTACATAATTGATTCCTTTAGAACTTACCTGGATACCTTTAAAGATAACATGAGCACCAAGGGACATTATTAGAGAATACACATCTTGTGCATTTGCCCTTATTCCAGAACAATTTTTTTTATTCATGTGGTGTTTGGGTAACAACCCCAGATGAAACAATAGGGAAAACTTATTGCTAAAGTAGTTCATTATACCAAGAAACAGAAAGCACGTACCGTAGGTTTGGTCACGTCCTTAGGAACATCAATGTGTAGATTTGAAAACTGTACCCACTTCATATTGGTACTGCTACGTACAGGAACAAAGAGAAAACTAAGTAAACCAGCACAAGAACCTATTTCCCTGTTTAATTTAGCATACCCAACTATATACTTACAGAAGAAAGCCACCATTTTTTACTGTACTGCTCTTAGAATTGTTAACAGAAAAAGTGCCCAAGCCCTTAAAAAAAAAAGTAGGGGGAGAACATGTGTTAGAATTAAAATTGATTGTCGGACCATTCACAATTTCCACTAAAACCCAAAAGATGAGTGGTGCTACAAATAAAGGGGTATCTCATTATTTCAGATGAAGCTATCTGGGTAACTAAAATGGCCAACTTTGATTCCATTATTTAAAAAAAGAGGACAATGGTAGAGTTGATAATCAAAAAGCAGTCTCAAAAGACAGTACTAAGTATCTTTTACAACCTAGGCTGAAGAATTTTTCTCAGATTAAAAAAACAGGCATGAATTAAACATGGGCACAGCAAGAGAAAAGAACATATGTGACTTCATTTTCCCCAGTAAACTTTTACAGATTAATTGCACTTCAATATGATACTTATTTTGCCTGAATATTTTTAAGCAATAACTACTAAGCACTTTATATTTTATTAAGGGTCAGAATAAGAATTCTAAAGAACCCTTCTTCTGAAGCTCTCATACATCTTTTAAAGCATATGTTATTTCTGGGCTTGGCTGGGATAACTAGCTTAGAAATTTGAAATACTCACTGCAACTTATACCCATTGTGCCATATACTGTAACAATCTAGCATTTCCAAATCCTTTACTATCAGCTCCCCCTGGTGGAACAAAAGTTTCTAGTTTTAGAAAACTGAAATGCACTGTATATATCATTTACTTGTTTGTCCTTTAAGTTTTTCTGAGATTTAAATGTGTAACCTGAGAAAGTGGAAGCACAATAGACTCCTTAAAAATACAACACTCATGGGACGGCGCCTGTGGCTCAAAGGAGTAGGGCACCAGCCCCATATACGGGAGGTAGCAGGTTCAAACCCAGTCCCAGCCAAAAAAATTGCAAAAAAAACCCCAACACTCATGCCTGTAGTTCCAGCTACTCTCCAATCTGGGGCTAGAGGATCGTTTAAGCCCAGGAAGTTTGAGATCAGCCTGGGCAACAAAGCAAAATCCCTGTCTCAAAAAAAAAAAAAAAATTACAATGCAGATGAGCAATTAACACAAGTTAATTAAAACAGAAAGTCACCTAAATATGTTTTAAAAGTCTTCTCTTAGTGCCTCTCTCTTTACCAAAGACGAAGACAAATAAAAGCTTTCCACATTCTTTCTTGGATCAAGGGGGAAAAACAAAAGAAGAAAAGAAATTAGGGCTTGGCACCCTTAGCACAGTGGTTAAGGCGCCAGCCACATGCACCAAGGGTGGATTCGCACCAAGGGCGAATCTGACCCGGGCCAGCTAAACAACAAGGACAACTGCAATTAAAAAAAAAAAAAAAAGCCCGGTGCTGTGGCGGGTGCCTGTAGTTCTAGCTACTTGGGAGGCTGAGGGAAGAGAATCACTTAAGCCCAAGAGTTTGAGGTTGGTGTGAGTAACACTTTGAGACTCTGTCTCAAAAAAAAAAAAAAAGAAAGAAAAGAAAAAATATCAGGCACAATACAAGGCAGTAGGAAGTATGTGCCGTACTTTATAGATAATCAGATACAAAATTCCTTCTCCACATTTACGCCAGTGATTCTGCAATCCAGTTGTTCAAAAGGACACCACAAACCTCTGGTTTTAAAACAGAGAGACTAACATACTACTACACTCACAAATCAACTCTTGAATTTTTTCTTTTTTTTGAAGTGGGGGGCTGGAAGGAGGGCTGTCTGGGTAATTCTCTCTTAATACAGTAGTTAAAAATGTCAACCCCTATCACCATCTGATTCTTAAGAATCATGGTTCTCAAAGTGTGGTCTGAGAACCTTGAGGGGCGGAGGGGCGGGTCTCTGAGACACTTTCAGGCGTCTAGGAAATCAAAATTATTTTTATAATAATACTATGACGTTATTTACAAATTTCATACTCTAATTCTCTCACCAGTGTAGTTTCCTTTTCCTGTGGCTGCAAGAGGTGTAGATGTAATGAAAATCCAACTGTCTTCTATTAAACCAGACATTAAAGAGATTTTGTTTTTGTTTCAGAAAATCGTTACTGTCCATAAAATGCTAACTATGTTAACATGTAATGTATGTGTTACTTTTAAATAAGCAATTTTAAGATTCGCAGTTTTAGCTAAATATAGGTGGCTAAAATCCACAAAAACAAAACCTCCTTAGAGTCCTCAATTCCAAAGATGGAAGGCCAAAAAAGCTTGAGAACCGCTGCTTAAGTTTTTGCTTCTCCTCTAAAGCACTGAACAGAAATTATCTAATCCACTCCTTCGACTCCTGTAAAACGCACAATCTCTGGAGTCAGGACATCTCAATTCAGTTTCATGGGAACTGTCTGAGATCTTGCCCCAGTTCAGCTCCTAATATTCGTAAGGAAAGTTTCTCGTCTTTTCTAAGTCTCAGTTTATTTTGCAAACGTGAAAGGAGGAGTTTTGGAACATAAGAAATACAGTATCCTTTCCAGCTCTGACATTCTACGATTCTTCTTGTTCCTAAGTTCGCTTTGACTCAGCCCCTTTCTCGCTACCTTCCTGCATATGGCCCGAGGTGAGGAATAAACATCAGAAGGGCTCGTGATGGCCAGAACTGCGGGTAAAAGCGAGATTTAGTGGCAGCTGTCCTCGTCAGGCTGCCCAGTCTCCCCAGCCCGCCCGGTACCTGCCAGAGGCGCCGGCACACAGTCCCAAAAGCCGTCCGCGCCGCCATCGTGCCGTCCCCACCTTTCAGGACTGCTTCCGGGGTCACAGAGACGTCATCAAACCATAGAGTTCAGCAAGAGGAGAGAGTATATCCCCTTGTTCTTGCGCAGGAACAACCATAGAGACGCGATTTCTTGCTTTTTAAGGGTGGTGCTGCGCCTGACTGACACCCGGTCTAGAAAAAATTACTTCAGCCCAATCTAAATTGTCACCAAGTCCCATCAGTGTTTTCTCCTTCAAGTCGTGTTTGTTCTACGTGGTTACAGTTTTGTTGGAGGCCCACATAACAAAACACAAGCTGATGTATATAAAAATACATACAAGACCGCGGTTATCTTTGGGTAGTAGGATAATGGTTGATTTATTTTCTTATGTATTTTTCATAATTTAAAAAAATTCTATATTTAAGTAAAAGGAAAAAGTCTACCACTACTGTTAAGTCCACTTCTCATCCCATTAGCTTATTGTAACAGCCTTCTAGTTATGTTCCTTAATCCTACCTCCCCCTAACCAAATGGATAAGATGGGTGTTCTCCATCCATCTTATATCTCACTGTCTTACTGTTCTTCCGAAATCATTCATTTCCTTATGTTTCTATAGGATTTGGGAATTTATAATGGCTGCCTTCACCTATTACAACAAGCCCAAACTATTTTTTTGTTGTTGCTATTAATGTCCACTATAATTTAGTTCCCAGTAAAAAGGCTAATAACTGGGATTTTCTGAAATAATTTTTTTCCCATTTGTGCAAATTTCTAAGCTTTATTTTCCCAAGATGCTTTCACATACGTAATTTAACATAAAGGACAACTCTAGACTTAGAATCAGGAGATCTGGTTTCTCATCTCAGCTTTACCACTTAGCAGGGTGACTTTGGGCAAGTTACTTCCCTACCCTAAGCCTCAATTTTCTCATACATCCAATAGAGATGGTAATAATAGTTCCTACTTCAAATAGTTGCTATGAGAATTAAATGAGATACTGATGTATGAAGTACAATGTCTGCCACATAACCATGCTTGATGTCATCCACTATCTGTAATATAAAGTTGCTTCTATCTCACATGCTTCACAAGGTTATTGAGAAGATTAAAAAGAAAAAGATCAAGTTTAAGGGAACATTTTGTAGCATTTAAATAAAATATTGTGCAAATATAAGGTTATTTTTCTTCTCACAAGTAGGTACTACTTGCCCTATTTTGTAGGCAAGAGAACCAAGGAAAGGGTAGAATGATTTGTCTAACATTGCACAAATTGATGAAAAATCTAACAGCAGAAACCAGTTTTCCTGATCCTCAAGCTGGTCCCTGTGCACTAGAATTCAGCCCATATGAAGGAGTGGCTAAGATGTCTGGTGTGGTCCTACACAGAGTATGGAACACCATTCTTCACTTGTGGGAACTTCTGTTGGACTTGACTGTGTTCTACCCTGGCAGATGCCCAGCACTCTTTTCATAAGTATCCTTTCTCTCTGAATTGTGAAATTTAAGGCTGTCTCTCTCAGCTGAGGAGGCTTCCAACAGCCTCTCCACCCCCAACTTTGTGCTGCTTCTAACGTTTGCACCAGTCTGTCCAAATAGCACTTTTGTGAGGCCTCTTCACTGTGCCTCTGTCCCCTTTGTGTAGCCTTGGTTAGGTGAGTGTTTATAATGATGGTGACATTACATCTTACAAATGGCTTTCTTACCTAATCTGATCCTCAGCAGAACACATGAATTTTATCCTAATTTTGTTAAGTATGGAAACTGAAACTCAGACATGAAATGACTCACTCAAGGTCGTATGATGGGTTAATTACACTTATATTAATAACCATCTTCCTGCAGTGGGCTAGTATCAATTCTATAATGAGGTCTAGTTCTATGTAAGTCTCTTTTGGATGAAAGGAATAAAGATACTTACCACTCCATCACACCCCCTCCCCAAAGGGGCTTATTTTAAAAGGCATGTGTGGCCTGGACTGCTCCTGGAACTGGAAGAGTGTGCTCAAAGCAGTCATAGGGACTGGATACCCTCTTCACTGCTCTGAGGCCAAGCATGGTCATTTTAATGATGGGTCTTCTCTGCTTACAAATAGTTCCTACTCCCTCAGGACCTGTCTCGCATGTGGCCACTGCTTGCTGCTTTGTACTCACCAAGTTTCTCCATTCATACTCTCAAATGTGAGAATTTGATTTGGTCCTCTCATCTTCCTAGGCCAAGCCACCTCACGTGTCACCAAACTGCCTATGGACCTAATAATGATTTTGAGTTAGGTGCCAACTTATTCCAATTATCTGGGGAAAATTGGAAGTCATTGTACATGCAAAATCAGGCTTTGCCAATAGCAGGGCTATGGACAGGGCTCTTTGGCATGGTGTGTGGGCATGGACAGTGTTCTGAAGCTTGGCCTAACCAATGTGGGTCTCTTTCTTACAGCCTAAACTCTCAAACATCTAACCTCATACAGATGAGTAGGAGGTCAATGTTTCTACATAGCTGATGCAAGTAGATCTTGCTTTATGTCTTTGAGAAATAAACATAGACACATCAAATACAATAGAACCTTTATAATCTGACCACCCAAGAGACTATAACAAACTGGTCAACATAAAGAACTAGGTCACTGGCTCGGTGCCTGTAGCTCAGCCGGCTAAGGCGCCAGCCACGTACACCTAAGGTGGAGGGTTCGAATCCAGCCCGGACCCGCCAAACAACAATGACGGCTGCAACCAAAAAATAGCCGGGCGTTGTGGCGGACGCCTGTGGTCCCAGCTACTTGGGAGGCGGAGGCAGGAGACTCGCTTGAGCCCAGGGGTTGGAGGTTGCTGTGAGCTGTGATGCCATAGCACTCTACCCAGGGGGACAGCTTGAGGCTCTGTCTCAAAAAAAAAAAAAAAAAAAAGAACTAGGTCACCTGAACTGAAACGTACATGTGGCACATGTCTGGTCTATGAAAATTAGATCATTTTAAGGAGGTAGTTAATGTAGAGAGGTGGTCACTATGGAGGGTCTACTGTATTTCTAAGTTCAGTCATATTTTGATTGCACCAGTTCTGTTCCTAAAGACAGCACTTTCAAAAGACTCTCTCTCTTACATAAAGGAAATAATCAACCCTTTGGCTCTTTTATACAAGGATATCTACAATCCAAAGATTACTTGCAGCCCACTTAGGAATAGATTATTCACTTTCTTAAGATGTCTGCCTAATTATGTTTTGCTATGTTAACATTAAAACTTTTCATCCACATACCTAGAGCACATCTCTGCTGATTGTGGCTGATGATGGTAGAGAATAAATGGAATTTAGAGTTGACTTTAGGTAAACTCCAAAGAGGTTTTATTTGCACAGGCACCTGCATGGATAAGCATACCTGGAAAAATAGAGAAGTAATTAATTTAACACCTGCCATAAATTGCAGTGTATGTGTGGGTGATGATGAGGGGGTTCAGAATATTAATAAAGTATGACCTTCACTCTTCCCAATGGTGGAACTGGCTCTGTTCCCAGGCCACATGTCTTCCAAATTAAATTAAATTCCTTGGCAGGAAAGAATCATGTATACCATCTTTATATTCTCTCCTCCTCCATGAATAACCCAGTATGGAGTAGTGCCTGGGACATGATGGCTCATGAGGACTAAGAAAAATGTCTTCCAGTTGGATACCTGAAAGCAGACATTATAACACTTGCTAAATGCACACTCCTTCTAGAGGAATAACTATTCTCTCTGATAAAGGACTGTCTAAAATTGAAAGCCAAAATTAAAGTAAAAAAAAAAAAAAGAACCAAGATCTTGAATAGGCATTGCTCACTTAAAGCAAATTCTGTATAAAATCTAGTTTCAAATTTCTTCTAAAGTCTTCTGTTGACCATTAAAAAGTAAACATACTGGTTTGGTGCCCTTAGCTCAGTAGTGAGAGGGCCAGCCACATACACACAGCCCGGGTCTGCTAAATGACTGTTTAATAAGTAAACATACTTATTAAAATTCAGAAGTGAAGATTTATTTATTTGTTTTTGCAGTTTTTGCCGGGGTTGGGTTTGAACCCACTACCTCCAGTGTATGGGGCTGGCACCCTACTCCTTTGAGCCACAGGCACCACCCTGGAAATGAAGATTTAAAATGCACTACCTCAGGGTGGACATAGATTTTTGTGGAGGATTTACTGTAAGATACTTGTATGTGTTGGCTCGGCGCCTGTGGCTCAAGTGGCTAAGGCGCCAGCCACATACACCTAAGGTGGCGGGTTTGAATCCCCAGCCCGGGCC